CACGCCTGATGATAGTCCCTGAAAAATATTGTTTAAAAAATCCACGCCTGATGATAGTCCCTGAAAAATATTGTTTAAAAAATCCACGCCTGATGATAGTCCCTGAAAAATATTGTTTAAAAAATCCACGCCTGATGATAGTCCCTGAAAAATATATTTAAAAAAGCCACGCCTGATGATAGTCCCTGAAAAATATTGTTTAAAAAATCCACGCCTGATGATAGTCCCTGAAAAATATTGTTTAAAAAATCCACGCCTGATGATAGTCCCTGAAAAATATTGTTTAAAAAATCCACGTTTCTAGATGATAGTTGTGAAAAATATTGTTTAAAAAATCCACGCCTGATGATAGTCCCTGAAAAATATTGTTTAAAAAATCCACGCCTGATGATAGTCCCTGAAAAATATTGTTTAAAAAATCCACGCCTGATGATAGTCCCTGAAAAATATTGTTTAAAAAATCCACGCCTGATGATAGTCCCTGAAAAATATTGTTTAAAAAATCCACGCCTGATGATAGTCCCTGAAATATATTGTTTAAAAAATCCACGCCTGATGATAGTCCCTGAAAAATATTGTTTAAAAAATCCACGCCTGATGATAGTCCCTGAAAAATATTTTTTAAAAAATCCACGCCTGATGATAGTCCCTGAAAAATATATTTTTAAAAAATCCACGCCTGATGATAGTCCCTGAAAAATATATTTTAAAAAATCCACGCCTGATGATAGTCCCTGAAAAATATATTTGAATAAATCCACGCCTTGGATAGTCCCTGAAAAATATAGTTGAAGAAATCCAAGCCATGGATAGTCCCTGAAAAATATATTTAAAAAATCCACGCCTTGGATAGTCCCTGAAAAATTTGTTTAATAAATCCACGCCTAGGATAGTCCCTGAAAAATATTTGTTTAATAAATCCACGCCTAGGATAGTCCCTGAAAAATATTTGTTTAATAAATCCACGCCTAGGATAGTCCCTGAAAAATATTTGTTTAATAAATCCACGCCTAGGATAGTCCCTGAAAAATATATTTGAATAAATCCACGCCTTGGATAGTCCCTGAAAAATATATTTGAATAAATCCACGCCTTGGATAGTCCCTGAAAAATATATTTGAAAAATCCACGCCTTGGATAGTCCCTGAAAAATATATTTGAAAAAATCCACGCCTTGGATAGTCCCTGAAAAATATATTTGAATAAATCCACGCCTTGGATAGTCCCTGAAAAATATATTTGAATAAATCCACGCCTTGGATAGTCCCTGAAAAATATATTTGAAAAATCCACGCCTTATATTTGGCCTTGGATAGTCCCTGAAAAATATATTTGAATAAATCCACGCCTTGGATAGTCCCTGAAAAATATATTTGAATATATAGTCCCTGAAAAATATATTTGAATAAATCCACGCCTTGGATAGTCCCTGAAAATATATTTGAATAAATCCACGCCTTGGATAGTCCCTGAAAAATATATTTGAATAAATCCACGCCTTGGATAGTCCCTGAAAAATATATTTGAAATATATTTGGATAGTCCCTGAAAAATATATTTGAATAAATCCACGCCTTGGATAGTCCCTGAAAAATATATTTGAATAAATCCACGCCTTGGATAGTCCCTGAAAAATATATTTGAATAAATCCACGCCTTGGATAGTCCCTGAAAAATATATTTGAATAAATCCACGCCTTGGATAGTCCCTGAAAAATATATTTGAATAAATCCACGCCTTGGATAGTCCCTGAAAAATATATTTGAAAAATATATTTGGATAGTCCCTGAAAAATATATTTGAATAAATCCACGCCTTGGATAGTCCCTGAAAAATATATTTGAATAAATCCACGCCTTGGATAGTCCCTGAAAAATATATTTGAATAAATCCACGCCTTGGATAGTCCCTGAAAAATATATTTGAATAAATCCACGCCTTGGATAGTCCCTGAAAAATATATTTGAAAAATATATTTGGATAGTCCCTGAAAAATATATTTGAAAAATATATTTGGATAGTCCCTGAAAAATATATTTGAATAAATCCACGCCTTGGATAGTCCCTGAAAAATATATTTGAATAAATCCACGCCTTGGATAGTCCCTGAAAAATATATTTGAATAAATCCACGCCTTGGATAGTCCCTGAAAAACATATTTGAATAAATCCACGCCTTGGATAGTCCCTGAAAAATATATTTGAATAAATCCACGCCTTGGATAGTCCCTGAAAAATATATTTGAATAAATCCACGCCTTGGATAGTCCCTGAAAAATATATTTGAATAAATCCACGCCTGGGACAGTCCCCAAAAAATGTTTTTTTAATAAATCCACGCTTGGGTAATGAAAAATATTTTTTAATAAATCCACGCCTGGGACAGTCCCCAAAAATGTTTTTTTTAATAAATCCACGCCTGGGACAGTCCCCAAAAATGTTTTTTTTAATAAATCCACGCCTTGGATAGTCCCTGAAAAATATTTTTTAATAAATCGACGCCTGGGACAGTCCCCAAAAAATGTTTTTTTTTAATAAATCCACGCCTTGGATAGTCCCTGAAAAATATTTTTTAATAAATCGAAAAAAATAATAAATAATAAAAAAAAATATTTTTAAAAAATCCACGTCTTAGAATATATTTTTAAATAATCTGTGCCTTCAGAAGTCCATTTAAAAATTTAGTTTTTATTTGTAGACCACTGTGTCGTATGATTACTATTAATATGGACAAGGTGTCGTATACTAACCTACAATACTTATACGCCATAGAGGATTCTCATATTTGGAAATGCCAATCGATTATTTATTTTGTTTTAATTTTAATGTTGTTTTTGCTTTACAAATTTCGAATAATTAATATATATATATTGGAAAAAAATATAAATAAATAAATGAAACGGATATCCAACGAAAAAACTTCATAGAATGCCCTATATGATGAAGAGCCGAAAAGAAAATTGCCAAATAAATATAAAACATCATTTTTAATAATAATTGTCTAATTTTAGTTAGAATATATAAAATCAAATATATATAAAAATCATTTGTTTGATAGTTGCCAGCCAGATATGCGTCAATATCTTTAGATACTAGTTAATGATCTCATCCATCCCCGCTCCACTCTTCAGCAGCCTCATCTGTAGTAGACAGTGCTTATGATGCTTTGAAAAGCGTGATAAAAAATAATTTTAAATATAATGTTCGATATTTTTAATTTTTGTTTCATTGTATATCACAATCTATGTCATTATTTTTTATAAGACGTCATATTATTTTTTTAATTTTTATTTATTTTTTATATCGATGAGATTCCAATGAAAAAAGCATGGCATTTTTGTGCATGATTTTTGTTAATATTTTTTTTTTATTATTTATTTTTATTTGTGTTATTTTGTATGTTTTTTTTTTGTGCACAAAAAATGTTTTGTGTTTCCAAATGTTTTTCTGAAAAGAAAAAATATTTTTTTGAGATTATTTCATTGTGTAGAGGAACATAATTATGTAAATAATTGCATATATATGTATAAATAACAAATGTAGACATTTTTACAATTTTCATAAAACCTCTATCCCTCTCTTGTACAAAAAAAATATATTTTTTAAAAAATCCACGCCTTGATAAGGACTTAAAAATATTTTTTTTTTTTTTAAAATCCACACCTTGATAAGGACTTAAAAAATATTTTTTTTTTAAAAATCCACGCCTTGATAAGGTCTTAAAAAATATTTTTTAAAAAATCCACGCCTTGATAAGGTCTTAAAAAATATTTTTTAAAAAATCCACGCCTTGATAAGGTCTTAAAAAATATTTTTTAAAAAATCCACGCCTTGATAAGGTCTTAAAAAATATTTTTTAAAAAATCCACGCCTTGATAAGGTCTTAAAAAAATTTTTTTAAATATCCACGCCTTGATAAGGACTTAAAAAATATATTTTTTTTTTAAATCCACGCCTTGATAAGGACTTAAAAAATATGTTTTAAAAAATCTACGCCTTGATAAGGACAAAAAAAAATATTCTTTAAAAAATCCACGCCTTGATAAGGGCTTAAAAAAATATTCTTTAAAAAATCCACGCCTTGATAAGGCCTTAAAAAAATATTCTTTAAAAAATCCACGCCTTGATAAGGACTTAAAAAAATATTTTTTAAAAAAATCCACGCCTTGATAAGGACTTAAAAAATATTTTTTTAAAAAATCCACGCCTTGATAAGGACTTAAAAAATATTTTTTAAAAAAATCCACGCCTTGATAAGGACTTAAAAATATTTTTAAAAAATCCACGCCTTGATAAGGAGTTCAAAATATTTTTTTTTAAATCCAGGCCTATAGGAAACTCATATATATTTAAAAATCTATGTTTTTTTGGAAGATCATAAAAAGTATTTTGTATAAATTCCAACCCCTACCATCAAAAATATTTTTTTTGATAATGAACACCTATCGCTAGACTTCAAAAAATATTTCTTAAAAATCCAAGCCTTGGTTATATTTAATGTTATTAATATTTAAATATTTAATATCATCTACACACTGAAATAATCTCAAGAAAATTTTTTTAACACAAAAAAAAAAAAAACTCTGCTTATTCTGTGAGCACAACAACAACCCACACCCCCCTTCTTTCCATATGTTCCTGCATGTCGTACCATCCATCCCATGAACTTTGTATACCTTTTACTAATCGTTTTGTTTTCGTTTTGGTTTGTTTGTTCAAAAAAAAAAAAAAAAAAAAAAAAATACTCTTCACTTTCCGTTCCATAGACACAAAACTTTTTTTAATTTTAAATTTTTAATTTTTAAAAATCTCAACAACAACAAAAATTGTTATGTTTATGTTTAGCTTTTGTGTTGTTTGCATAAATGCTTTTTGCCAAGAAAAAAATGAAACTCAATTAAATATGAAACCCAAAAAATTATTCAAAAATACAAAAAAAAATTAATTTAAAATTTTCCAATTTTTCATTTTTTTCCTCCAACATCATCACCCAAAAAAGTAGCAGAGAATGCCATACCCGAAGAAGATCGCAATCTATCTCGCGATTCAGATGGCGAACGCCGTGTGGCCACACCCACCGCCACTGAATCCCAGCTGCCATGGAAACGTCAGGGTGACGAAATTTCCGATGCGGTGCAACAAAATGAATTCCCCGCCTGGGCATCCAATAAAGAATATTTGGCCTATAATTCACCAAGTGCTACATTCTTAGGTAAAGTATAAATGCGATTTTTTGTTTATATAGCGTTCATAACTATATAGTATGCTAATACATATATACCAAGTTATTTGTATGCACCTTAGTTTTAGAGAATGTTTTTTTTTACGTTTACGTGCAAAACAAATTTTCAAAACAGCATTGCAGTGCAAAAACAACAACATCTTCTTCACTGTAGTTAGAATATCGATAAACTAAATTTTCAAAATCATTGAATTTTTCATATCATTTTATTACAATGAGATTGTTTTAGGATAAATACAGGATTAAAAAAGTGTTTTGTGGAAATTAAAAAAAGGATTTTAATAATAGTTGTCTGCAAAATTAGTTATTTTGTTGTACGTCCTTTATAAATTATTTTTATAAAGTCCAAGGCTGTAGCTGAGCTTCCAAAAATATCTTTAAACAAAAATACAAGTCCATACCATGAGAAAATTTTCTTATTAAGGGGACCCCCCCCCCCATTCTCGTTGTCAAAAATTTTTTTGATTCGAATCTACTCTAATTCTAGAATGTTCCTACAAAATTTCAAGGGAAAATCTCAAGAACTCTTGAAGATATAGCCGATTTATTGTGTAAGCATCAAGTGACGGCTAAAGGGTTTCTCAAACTTTAAACGCGTTTTTCTCAAAACGAATGGCGGGCACGATAACTCAAAAACTAATAATCCAATCGGTTTCAAATTTTGACACGTTTCTCTGGGAATGTGTAGCTCTCGTATGAACTAGGATAAAGCCAATCGGTGAAGATCTTCCTTATTTTTTAACTTAGTTTGTGGTAAAAAATATGCGATTTTTCATAAAAAAATTTTCAAAGTTCCGCCATTTTGTTAATTGTTGTGCGAAGTCAATAATCCTAGTTCATACGAGAGCCAGACATCTCCTCTTTCTAACACAGTTGGAATTTTCGGATTCCGATGTTCCAGTGAGGAGTTATCGTGCCCACCATCGAAAATGTGGACTTTTCTTTGAACCCAAAAAACAACAACAAATTTTGGTAAATTATTTTTCTTCCTTTTTAAATCTTCAAATATATATGTGCCAAGTTACAAACCTTAACAAGCATTGGTATTCATTTACCAGTCCATTTAAAATCTTAAAAATAAAAAATCGAGAATGGGGGGGTTCCCTTAATTCAGGTTTACAGCTTGGCTTAGGAAATTTTGATTGAAAATTCCACGCCTTTTACTGGTCATCAAAAAATATTAAAAAAAAAAAATAAAGACTTTATTGAAACCCAACAAATAAAAAATTCTACCATATTCATGGTATCCAAAAATTATTTCTTAACCAGTAAGGAAAGTAGTAAAGTCGGGCGGGGCCGACTATATGACACCCTTCACCACTTTGGGTATATTCAACAGATGAATCCTAACAGACGTCGCATTTTTAAAGGACCAGTAAAATAAAATTGGATCCATAAACATGTCATTCTGCAACCGATACTAAATTTTTCATTTGATCAGATATAGAAGCTATATCTAAATCTGAACCGATTTTCAGGAAACTTAAGGGGACCCCCCCCATTCTCGGGGTCAAAAATGTTGTTGATATAACTCGAATCTACACTAATTAATGAATGTTCCTACAAAATTTCAAGTGAAAATCTCAAGAACTCTTGAAGATATAGCCGATTTATTGTGTCAGCATCAAGTGACGGCTGAAGGGCTTCTCAAAACTTAAAACGCGTTTTTCTCTAAACATTTTTTGTGAATGGCGGGCACGATAACTCAAAAACTAATAACCCAATCGATTTCAAATTTTTACACGTTTCTCTGTGAGTGTATAGCTATCGTATGAACTAGGATAAAGCCAATCGGTGAAGATATTCCTTATTTTTTAACTTGGTTTTTGGTAAAAAATCGGCGATTTTCCAAAAATATTTTTTCAAAGGTCCACCATTTTGTTAGTTTTAGAGCGAAGTCAATAATCCTAGTTCATACGAGAGCCAGACATGTACTCTTTCTAACACCGTTGGAATTTTCGGATTCCGATGTTCCAGTGAGGAGATATCATGCCCGCCATCAAAAATAAGGACTTTTCTTTAATTGCAAAAAACAACAACAAAACAATAACAAAATTTTTTTGTAAATTATTTTTCTTCTCTTTTAAATCTTCAATTATATATGTGCAAAGTTACAAACCTTAACAAGCATTGGTATTGATTTGTCAGCCCATTGAAAATCTTGAAAAATTAAAATCGAGAATGGAGGGGGTTCCCTTAACACACATCATTCTTGATCTAATTCATTACGCCGTGCCAAATTTCGTGCAAATCGAGAGATATATGTAGGGACTTTGGTGCACCATTTACATTAAATCGGTCGAAAATATATATATCTAAATCTAAACCGATAAGTGACCTATGGCAAATTTCATCCAAATCATTCATCATAAATTTGTTCACAAAAATACATGGACGTATGCACGGACGGACAGACGGACATGCATAAATCGACTCAGAAAGTGATGCTATGTATATTCTCAAAAGGATCCATGTGTCTATTTCGTTTCCTTTTGCATATTACAAAAATATGCACACAGACATAATAACCGGTACCACAAGTGTGGTGAAGGGTATAAAAACTACTCACAACTCTATAAGCCCTACAATATTTTTTAAACAATTCAAATATATTGGTGGCCTTTTTTATACAACCTGGGTAGGCCTTCAAAATATTTTCAAAATTTCACGCCCATTTATAGGCCTCCTAAAACAATTTTTTTCCAAATTCACGCCCACTTTCAGGCCTTAAAATATTTCTTTTAAATCCACATTCATACGAGCCCATTTATAGACCTCAAAAAAATTTTTTTTCCCAATATAAGCCCATTTGTAGGCCCCTGAAAATATTTGTCTACAAATGTATGCCCAAATGTAGGCCCCTCGAAATATTTTTTTTTTTTAAATCCACGCCTATTGGTAGACCTTAGAAAGAATTCTCTCGAACTCCACGCCCTTGAGTCTTAAAAAATATTAAAAAAAAACAGAAATCAACTCTTATCGTTAGTAAAAATCAACTCTTATTGGTAGCTCTTCAAAAATATTTGTTAAAAATTCCAAATACGGCATATGGAATCGAATAATTTTTTTAACCCCACGACATAGGTAGGCTGTTAAAAATATTTTTAAAATATCGACAACTGTTGGGGGCCTTCAAAAAGTAGTTTATGCGTTTTAAAATACTCTAGCCTTGGAAAATATTTTTTTTTTTTTAATTTCACAACATTATAGGGCTTTAAGAGCTATTTAGTTTTTAAATATTTTTTTTAATACATGTTCAATTCTATGCCTTGCAAATATTTCCACAAAACACTAGTAATTGTTTTTTTTATCGAACTTTCATATAATCAGTATTCATTTTGTAGCCAACTAGTTGCAAATTCGAAATTCCTTTAATAAACAAGAACAAATACAAATTTTTCAACTTCGATTCATTTTATTTTCAAAAAATCCATAAAAATAAATATGCCATCATTCATATTGCGTGAATGCAAGAGAATGCATGCAAGCTACCCCCTTTTTTCTTTACCTTCGTTTTCAAAATAGTCAACGACAGTATTTTTTGGTCTTCCTATATATATATGTTGACCTATTTGTTATATATTGAAAAATATATAATATTTCTTTATATACCGAGATTATTAGTAAATAGCATTTGTTGTTCTGTATTAAATGTTGTTTTTTTAATGTTAAAATATAAAAAATCAAATTTTACAGTATTACATTTAAACAGTATTATATTACAATATAGTATAGAATATATATTTTTTACTTAAAAGAAGAAATTAATAATACCATCTTTATAAATAGAATAATGTAAATATATATTAAAAAACAACTGTTATATTGTGAAATATATAGTAGTATGTTGTTTTATTTTGATTTTTTATTGTACCATAAAGATTGTAATATTTTAATTAAAAACATTAATAACTAGATATTATTATAACATATCAATTTGAAAAATAAAAATAGTTTTTATATTTATGAAATATATTATAAAAAATAAAATAAAATTGTTACTAACCTAAAAAAACTAATTGCAAATAAATACTAACAAAATAAAATATTTGTTTTAAATTTAATATAAGTACACTTATGTGACGTATACATACTACAAATCAATATCCGCCGATTAGATTATGGATATACCATCATACGATTACGATCGTCCTACATTTATGTTGATCGGAGAGACGTTGCTGGGTATCAGCTGTGTTGGGCGAGTGTGAATCGGGGTTTTTTTGGATCGTAGATTCCATTGTGCATGAACCGCATTTGTTAAGGCTTATTCCACCTGCCGTAGGACGATACAAACCTTGAATTGATCTCGGAGATACACAAAGACCCTGTACTGAAAATGTTCTGGGATATTAATATTTTGATAATGTTGTTCATGAATATGTATATTGAAATATTAACGGGAGAGGTTCGACAATGATCTTAATGTTGCGTTTTAATGAAAATTTAATTAGGCCTATATCACAATTTCGAAATCACTCCAATACAAACTGGTTAATTCTATTGAATGAGAATTACTTTATTTTAAATTACTTAAGTATGGATAGAAAAATTATAGTTCTGACAATCCTTGAAGAAATCTGACGCGCTTATAATTTTGATATGCTTGAAGAAAAAACGATTTTAAATACACGTTAATATTTCTGGAAATGTAGTTTATAAAATATTTTTATCACCCTCTCAAATGCGTGACAAATGATTTCATGAAAATCTTATTAAATTATAAATTATCAAATCGATTGGTCATCTAAAATAGTCTAAGAAAATTTCTTTTTCAGAAAATCGTGAAGATTGTGAATATGACAGTTCATCAATTAAAAAATAGCAATATTAAAAGTATCTTAAATTCCACGAGAATATTAAAAAAAGATATTCGTAAAAAAAATTAAAGCCCCATTTAACTTTGATAGATTTTTCAATATTCCTCAAAAGTATTGACAGGAATATAGTAATGATATTCATCACAATCATTTTTATTATTAAAACATACTATTTTCAAAAAGAATTTAAATCTTCCACCTTCAAACATATTGTCAATGGATCTCCAAAGATCTACTCTTTTACTTCAGATAGTGATTTTTTTATAATTCTATTAGAAGGTTTTTTTTAAACAAAAGTCAAAATATACTCTTACAATTGTTTGATTGATAATTTGTAAAAAAATATTCTTCCAAAAAAATGTATTTTCAATTTTAGTCCTATATTCTTTTACAAAATTTTTTCAAAAATATTTTTGAAAAACACCAGTTTATAGACGCTATGAATATTTGCCTAATAGCCTCCAAAATACCTCTAATATTAAAAAAAAGAAATTATGACAACAATTCTTGATTTTCAAAAATGTCTTTTTTGTTTGGCTACTAATCGAAAATCTTCATCTTAGGAGCACCACCTGGATATGTTGCTCTTCCAAATGATCTATTCATGCCATTGAATGTTATCTCCAACGGCAAATTTTTATAAAAGGTTCAAGAGACACCTGCCATATTAGCTCCTGAAATACCAATAAAAAAATTAATTTAATTATTTAAAAGGCTTTTTTTTACTTCCATTGGAATTCTACTATTAAACAAAAACTATATTTTTTGAAATATATTCTAATTTATTCTATTTAATATAGTGTGAAATATAATTTTGCCCTTTTTTCACGTATTACTAATATTAATTCCATTGTCCATGGTGGCGTATGCGTGATATTAACGATATTCAACGATTTTGTATTATGTATACGTCACAATTGTATTTATATTTAATTTAAATTATTAATAAAACATTGAAAATAGAAAAATACTATACGGGAAACTTAGTGAAAAAATTACAAAAAAAATAACCATAATAAATAATAAAAAACAAAAATCTTTTCATTAATTAGAAAATAATAATAATAAAAAGCACAATTAAATCAATAATCTAAATAGATAAAAAATGTATACAATTTTAAAACTAATGTTGATATTCTAAAACTTATATTAACCGAGTCTTTATTTCATCACGAGAATGGGCATTTCAAATAAAAAAAGGTAAAAATACCAATACCCGCGTAAATTGCCACAAAGAAAATATTACCGAAAATCAAATCGAAAAATTCGGCTATGATTTTGAACATACCGAATATGACTCAATGAACTTTTTATATCCTCCACCAACAGGTAAACTTTAAAAATACCTTAAACCATGCTAAATTACCGCTAGAAGAAAAATGAAACACCAAACACCACATACTCTGAGGCTGGAAATTTTGTGCTAGGACCTTGAATATTCCGACAATGACCTTTGTATAGGCCAACTATATAGAAGCATGGACTTATTTTAAAAATGTTCTGGCATGAATTGCTTTTACCCATCAAGGTAACGAAATGTGTACTTACAGTCAATTCGTAATGCTATATATACACACTTCGGTTGGCAAATGTACCTATGACCGATACAATTACTATTAAAGTGCTGGACCTTTATATGAGTGGCTATATTTAATGATTGACCCATATTTATGATTTTTGTTAAGAAGCTAAAAAATATAGCTAAATTGGTTGAAAAAGGAACAAAAAAATTAAATTTAGAATTTAATGTTTATTTAATGAGGGCTTTTTATTACAAAACGTAGACCTATATTGATATTTCTTTCAACACAATGTGAACCCAATGCAACAAAGTGGAGATAATTCGGTATTAAAAAGGGGTAAAGTTTAATGGGGGCTACCCTAAAACTGGACCATTATATATATATTTCAAACTCACCGTAAATTTGGGGTACAGCTAAACGGAGGCTAACCCGAAACATAGGTCAACTCAATGAAAACCCAAAATAGTAATTTGCAGTCAAGTTGGTTGGTACTCCAAAACATTCCAAAAAATACTAAAATTTGGGAAGTACCGTTATTGATGACCTACCCTAAAAATTATGCCAATATTGAAAATATTCCAAAATACCAAATTATAACCAATTCGGTCCATTAACTACGGAAAAATAAGGGGTACCGTTATATGGGGCCCACTAATCAATAATCAATAAGAACCCAAAATACAAAATTAGATCCGATTCATTTGAAAAAGTTTGCAAAATCACTTAAAATATCGAATATTGGGAGAACCTTTGTGTGCAAGTCCATACGAAAACGTGGACCGATATATTCCATTTTCAATACCAAAGATCCAATGTGTAGTTGCAATACATACAGTGGTAAATTTCAGAGCTTTATCCCAAATATTATGAGCTTTATTGTGAGGTCCACCGACAAACAAGCAGAGATTACTAAATCGACATAGAAATGTATTCTTATCTGCGGATCTTTGCTGAATATATTGAAGAATGGCAAACGTAATAATAAATTTAATTTGAAATGATTAAAAAAAAGAATATCTTAAATGATAATCTCTTAAAACATGCAGAAATTCTTATAAAATCTCAAAGTGACGTATTAGTATTAAAAATAGTCGAACAATGTTGCGTATGAGATTTACAAAAATTTTCGGAAATTTATTAAGTATACGCCAAAATATTTTTAATTTAATTTTCAAGGTCAAAATTTTTCAAAAAAAAAGCCTCTGAATTTTACATAAAAAATATTTCAAATTTTTAAAATGCGATATTTAACATATGCTGCCGAATATAATACATAAACATTAAACATTAAATAAATCAATAAATTAATTGATATAAACATTCTTAAAAATATATAAATAATACAATAATGATGATATATATATATAAATAATAAAATAAAGATAATATATACATAATACAATATTAATAAAAATGGATTATATTTTATAAAAATATTTGTTTTAATTATTGAAATATTTATATATAAAAATAAATTTATAGTTTTTTTTTTAATTTTTTTACTAAAATATTGAATGTTTTTAATTAAAATATTACAATCCCAATATATATGTATGAAATAATGACCTTTGTAATGTATGAATTTATTTTTTTAATTGTAAAACAAATTTATTTTTTCTACTCCGTTTATTTTTTCTACTTGCGCGTGTTTCTACAATATACCAATACATATACAATTTATTTACATATTTTCTTCAATTTACTTTATGTTACCAAACAATTTGTTTAAATTTCTACTTTTTTTCTCTCTTCCTCTTCTACTTTTCTCTTATTGCGCCTGTCCCTCTGAACTGTCTTTATGAACAAATTAAATGAAACAAAATAAAAACCGAAACACTATTTTGGAAACGTCCACAAAAAAATAACAACAAAAACAATTAAATTAAAAAAAATTACTAAATGCTATGATATGATGTGAATGTTAATGTTTTCCTCTAAAAAATTATGAAATCGAAATAACAACAACAATCAAAAACTCAAATCATTCATCAACCACGGCCTTGTCACCGCTATTGTTGTTTTGTTTTTCTTTCTACTTGACTTTAAAATGTGCCCTAAAACACAAAACAAAAAATCTGAAACAACATCATAACATGTGCACGCTGTGATCGAACAAAAACAAAATCTGACAAAAAATCTGCATTCCAAATTCGTATATTTGAAAACACACCACCCATGGCCCCCTTGCACCTCTAATCTAAACACACTCACTCACACACCCACACCACAAAAAAAAACCCCTCTCAGGTGGTATAAACAAACCTAAACAGCCCAAGTCCGTCATAGGTCTATTCCGTCGTGAAAGTTCCGGTTCCCGTGGTGGCGCTGGTGGCAGTATTATGACCGTCGATGGCACTGATGGCTCATCGGCTAGGGGTTCCGACCCGGCCTTGGCTGCCGCACTCAGCCAAATGGTTGTGCCTTCTTCACAAATACCCTACAATCCACGTTTGGACAAACGTTCGCAGTCGATATCATCCGGTTCGGGTTCGGCGGGCATTGGTGATTCGGGTCATGCGGGTCCCTTCCCCGTTACGGCCAGTCATCGTCGTAATGTACGACGTGGTTCAATGCTAGAATTAAGCGGGTAAGTTATGAATTTTTGTTAACAAAAAGTTGTCTACTTTTTTCTGTTTCATTTCTTTTTTCGATTATTATTTTTATTTATAAATAATTTTGCCAGTTTTTTTTTCATATATGAAAAAATATATATTTATGTTTTTTTTATTTTTGTTTTTATATAAATATTTTTATATATTATTACTAATAATTAATTACTTTATATGCATGGTTTGGTTTGTCAAGCATTAAACACTATTTTTCTTGTTTGAAAAAAAATCTATTTTTTTACTTGGGCTTTAAAATAATTAGAAAAAAATTAATTAACCCCTATATAAAAAATTAATCCCTTGTAGCTTCTTAACAAAAAACCCCTTAACCTTTCAATGTACAAATTCTCATACACACATCTGTAAAATATTTTACTCATAAAAATAATTGCTAACAATAATCCCTCCCGAACACTAACAAATAACTTAGATTAATTTTTGTTCTTTTATTTACTTCTACTTGCTTTGGAGCTTTAATTTTTATTAATTATAGATAAAAAAACTAATTTTTATAAATAACCCCCTTTTTGAATAACTAACCAACAAGACTAAAAAATAACTATTACTAAAATTTAACATAGATTTTAAGCATTAACATTTATCTATTCGAAATTTTCGTCGGAAGCAACGTATTCTATTATCATTATTTTTAAGTTAATTAATTTAAGTCTGTATTTGTCCTACAAATTTTTGTGTATTTGTCTACCGAATACCAAAAAATGTCCTTTGTCTCATATAAAAATATATTTCATTAATCATACACTTGTCTTATGTTCCGAAATTTGAGAATATTACCAATTTGATATGGAAATGAAATTCATAGAGGGTTATAAGGAGCCTCTGATTGTAAAAAATAGCAATGAAATCGTCTAAATGTTGTTTAGGTTCTCTTGTGGCGTATAAGTAATATTAATAGTAGTCCCGTGTTGCGTATGAGGTATAAAATATATTTTCTCTACAATAAAGTATACGCCGTGAAGTCCTGAGTATGATATTTTAATCATATTTGGATGCTATTAAAGACACGAACTCAAATTTGCAACACATGATAAGCCTTCTGTCCGGTCACATAAGAGGGCATAAAAGAATATTGGGCAGCAGGGAGAATCGATCGGCGTGCCTACCACTTCTATTAAAATTATCTATCAGATCTTCTTTCCTATTAGACGAAATACAAAACACCGTCTTCTAAAAACTGATTAAGGGTTGATCGTTGTAGAGGCCTTCAATCTCTATGGACCGTTTCGTCTTTGAGTTAGCGGCTTACTTTGATGCGAAGATCTTGCAAGTAATCCTCTCTCTGCTTCTTTAAAAGCAACATTGTTCCAGCTCAGCATCTCAGTGGGGTTAACATCTGCTCAGAGACCTTATCTCATTTTCTTTTTAAACGTCCACCCTTATGCAGAATATTTGGTAAGGGTTTCATAGTCGTTTTCTGATTTTTAGATTTCTTCAATTTGTTGGCTAGGTCTTTCCTCTGATTGTAAAAAATAGCAATGAAATCGTCTAAATGTTGTTTAGGTTCTCTTGTGGCGTATAAGTAATATTAATGGTAGTGCCGTGTTGCGTATGAGGTATAAAATATATTTTCTCTACAGTAAAGTATACGCCGTGAAGTCACATATGTCAGTTCTATAAAATTCGAATATAGAAAGTGACCACACATGAACAAATTCCACATTCATTTTAACATATCATTAAAAATAGTTTTTGAAATGGGTTTATGGTACATAAGTAATACAAATAACCGTTTCATGCGGCGTATGCGTTATAAAAATATTTTTCTTTGAAATAAAGTATACATCATGTTATCACATATACCATTTTTATCAAATTCCACAACGAATATGAAAAATGAACACTCAATGAAATTCGAATCATGGCGAGTATGAATTAATCTGAAATACCGTTCCAAGTGACGTAAAAAAGTTATACAAAATATTTCTTACTGAAATAAAGCATATGGGCACTGCCGCAAAAAGGTAAACCAATGTCGAATAATTTGTTTCATTAATTGTGCTTAAATACGTCAAGTAAAGGCAAAAAATACAAACAAACACCACATTTGTCATTTTTTCTTCTTGTTCTTAGCATAAATACTACTTGAATGACTAAAAATCCAGACACTGCAGAAATAAAAACTGCAAAATAAACAATGTCGCGTGAGTGACCGAGAAAAATCCTTCGTAAATAAAGGATATGCCATATTTTGCAATTTTAAAAGTGCAATAATAATGCTTTGTATCTCTTATTCATGTAAAGAATATAAGCAGTTCGTAATATTCGAAAAATTCGCAGAATTTTCCCATTATTAACAATGGCGTCTAAAGTCATGTATATTTGATGTCGCGTGAGTTACCGCTCTTTTGTGGCTTTTATCTCAAAAGTTAAAAACTAGAGGCTCTCAATTTTTTTTATCACTGATAGTATTTCTAAAGTTCTGCAAAAAAATATTAAGTAAAGTGCGGAAGTGCCCATGTGTCAGATTTATAAAATTTGGAGACTGAAAGAAAGATCGAAAAAAAAAATGTTTCAAATATCCATGAATATACTTTGTAATTAATTTTTGTTAATTTTGACGTATAAGTAATATGAATAGCCGGTTTCAGGTAACGTACAAGTTGAAGAAAATAATTTTCTCTGAAATAAATTATACGTCTTCGGGTCGCATATACCATTTTTATAAAATACAAGAGAGATTATGAAAAGTGGAAACTCAATGAAATTCGTAGAATTTTAATTTAATTTCTAATTTATAAAATTTAAATTTGTAGAGAATTAAAAAGGTCCTCAGCGCGAAAAAATTAAATTTTCAAGTTGTTTTATGTTTTAAGTGTCGTATATGTAATATTAATAGCAGTCTCATATAATTTTTAAATAATTTTCTCTTGAAACCACCTTAAAAATACCAAGGTGAATATAAACAGAAAAAAGTTAAGTGTTTTGTTATGTTAAATTTTGTTTCGATCCTTCCTCCACCATGAAAACATTTCCTTAACCCTTTCAGTGTTTTTGTCGAATATATTTGACATTAAAAAAATACTCTCTCTCTCTCTCTTTGCGATTTTTCGGTTATCGTATGTACCGTTACTACTGATGTTTTTGTTTTTGCTAAAAAACAGACGAAACTTGCCGAGGGTTAAAATGCCAATTGCTATTTTTTCTAAACTATGTCCCTTTATATTATATTTTAGAATTTTATTCCGAAAAAAATTTTCTGTGACACTGAAAGGGTTAAAATTCAATTTTTTTTTACATTTTTCAACTTTGACTCTGCGTTAATAAAATATTCGGAACATCTGCCACGCTCCAAATTAGCAGATTTCTTAAATGATGAGATGAGAATAGATAACCGTCCTGAGTATGATATTTTAATCATATTTGGATGCTATAAAAGACACGAACTCAAATTTGCAACCCATCATAAGCCTTCTGTCCGGTCACATAAGAGGGCATAAAAGAATATTGGGCAGCAGCGTGAATCGATCGGCGTGCCTACCACTTCTATTAAAATTATCTATCAGATCTTCTTTCCTATTAGACGAAATACCAAAACACCGTCTTCTAAAAACTGCTTTAAGGGCTTACAATCATTGATCGTTGTAGAGGCCTTCAATCTCTATGGACCGTTTCGTCTTTGAGTTAGCGGCTTACTTTGATGCGAAGATCTTTCAAGTAATCCTCTCTCTGCTTCATTAAAAGCAACATTGTTCGAGCTCAGCATCTCAGTGGGGTTAACATCTGCTCAGAGATCTTATCTCATTTTCTTTTTAAACGTCCACCCTTATGCAGAATATTTGGTAAGGGTTTCATAGCCGTTTTCTGATTTTTAGTTTTCTTCAATTTGTTGGCTAGGTCTTTCCAGTCTGTCACATTCCGTCTTTCCCTCCAAATTGTTTTTCTAGAGGCCTTCAAACGAGATCTCTGCAGAGTCGACACAACCGAAGCACTCATCATTCGTTCATTGATCGAACTTCTCTCCAGCATTGTCTGCCTTATATTTCCACTCACTGTTACACTCAAGAGTTAGGATTCCAACAATTCGAAACCACCGATGCTATTCTAATAATTTTATACTTTCCTTCATTCTGAGTAGGGAATGTCTAATCGGAATTAAGGTTTGAATTTAAATAAGTCAAATTTTTCAATTCTGCACCTTTTACGTAAGCAAGAGTTTCGATATTAACTACACATCGGTTTCAGATGGCAAAGCTTTCTTATTTTAATTAGATAAAAAAAGTTATTACCGTACCCTGTGTAGTTTTATATCTCTCGTATGACATATCATTTTTGATATTTGAGTTTGGAAAGGTAATAACCACTTTCTGTCCTTCATCCCCTCCAACAAAGAATCCTGACGAGTGGGTAATCCTCCAATATTCTAGAATATAAAGGAGCTGCATCTTGGTTTTTTCCTAATTGAAATCACACTGTTATCGCTGGAGAGCATATATTCTGTAAAACTAGATTGTATGCCATATAATAGGTGACCAGAGGCCACTCCCATTAAACAGATCAACATTAATTTGGACTCTGTCCCATCGATTTCGATGGTATAAATTTAACCTTGATAAATTTGATTGGTCAAGATCTTCCTTATGTTCCAGCTTGGTTTTTGGTCGATAGGCGGTTTTCTAAAAAATAGTAATAATATTCTGAGGCCCGTTATTCCAAGCGAAGTCTACAATCATAGTTTTTTTGTAAGTCGTCCACTTACATCGGATCCGTTACCAAAGTTTTTCGAAATTAGCTGTCCCAAACCCCCTTCACGATTTACCACAAGATCAGATTCGAATTATGTTCGGGACAATACATAAATTAAAATGTTTGCTCACCAATATATTCCGTTGAGAATCACCATTCTGCTTAAAAGTACATATTCTACAGGATAGTCGAATATTCCTTTACGGACCTTTGAAAAATTGTTACCCTGATATTTTAATTTTTAAATATGTTTTTTTTTCTTAATTCTGCGAAA